GAGACACAGACCAGAGCACATGGCTGCAGCGAAGAGGGTATTGCGCTACCTGTGCAGTACGTCGAGCATGGGGCTAGTGCTTGGAGGGCGGAGTCCAGTGGTCCTTACCGGCCACGCGGACGCTTCTTGGGCTGACGACCAGGCTACGCAGCGGTCGTCACAGGGTTACACCTTCAGCCTTGGTTCCGGCTCTGTCTCGTGGCGGTCTACTCGCTCGTCTTCGGTTCTCGGCTCCAGTTGTGAGGCTGAGATCTACGCCGGGGCCATGGCTGCACAGGAGCTTCGCTGGCTCACCTACCTGCTGACTGACCTTGGAGAGCCGCCTCGTTCTCCTCCAGTGCTGTACGTAGACAACAAGGCCATGCTGGCCTTGTGTCGAGAGCAGCGCTTGGAGCACAGAACGAAGCACATTGCTCTCCGCTACTTCCTTGCTCGTGAGCTGCAGCAGCGTGGTCAGTTGCGACTTGCGTACGTGGCCTCTGAGGCCAACACTGCTGATGTGTTCACCAAGGCACTCGCGCCTTGTGACCATCAGCGCTTTTGCACCCAGCTAGGTCTTGTACCTGTCTTGCCTCACTTGCTCTCCTCTTGACTTCACTTGTACTGTGACATATATATATACCTGCTCTTGCTTGTCTAGTTTTATATATATGTCTGTACTCCTGCATGTGAACTGGCCTCTGGCCCTCCTCTTGTGCTCGGATTGTGTGGTGACTTTGTGATCCACCCTGAGCTTGCTTTGCTTTGCTTTGTTTGACTGGTCTTGTGACCCCTTGTTCTCCCCCACTTAGCCTATGGGGGTGTGTCAGAGTATTATAGCTGATGCATGTTTGTAGGCTATAGTGGGGTAGCACATATGGGGTACAGCTTTCTAGGGTTGTATTTGTACCCAACTCTGACTTAGTCATTCCATTCCTGTTTTCCTTGCTTCACATACTTCGCAGATGTTGATAAGCGAGTTCCGCGGAGTTTGCGTAGTTCCGGTAGGCGCGGATGCTTTGTTGTTCGTTCGGCGACAGGTTTCGGAGAAGAAAGGTGTAAGCCATGAGGGAGTGATACGTATAATTTTCTTTGTCCTTGTCTTCGCCGTTGTGTGGATATGGCTAGGTACCGTTGAAGAAGCCAAGAAGATTCGCGCCTTCCATCAGGAGTTCAAACTCGAAGCTCCAAGAGTAGAAGTCCTTCCCGTTGAATGGTGTGGATGTGTGCAGTCGTAGGACGTTGTTGAACTGTGCTTGTACTTGCAGGACTTCTTCGGTGTCTCGTTTGATGGCGGGAAGAGGAGTCGCTGGATGGCGGGGCGGCATGAACGTGAAGGAACCAGGTGAGACCGAATTTGGTGTTTGTTGATTATGTCGTCCGAACGATGAGTTGTCAATACTCATTGGTGCCGCTCCGTTGTTTATGCTGTTGCTGTTTGCAGGTTGCGAGGACTGCTGCTGCGACATGAAGTTGAAGAACTCCTCCATTAAGCTTGGGTTGAAGATTGTTGGCGGCGCTACTGGTGCTTGAGAAGAGCGTTCCGTCGCTTCCGGCGTTAATCCGGGCGTTGTTCCTCCTTCGGTCTGCAACTCGGAGACCGGGGGTAGAGTAGATCCCGTAGATGATCTTCTTTCTTTGCCACTTGCCATGTCTTGCCTTTCTTGAGTGAAGGTTGAACTTCTTGGTCTTTTGCAGATTGGTAGCCTGGAAGTGGCTTAGTGACGAGAGCCTTTGTTCTCTGACTGCTCTCATACCATGTTGGGCTGAGAATTTCAGCCTTAGGATCTTTGCAGAGAATAGGCTAGTAGGTGCTAGAGTAGCACAGCGGAAGTCTTGAGTGAATGTACTTGTGCTGGTATGTGAGAACAAGTAATTGATTAAAGCAAAGGGCATACATGAATATATAGAAAGGATAGATTACAAGAAGCGGTTATGTTTATCGAGACGCGTAACGCTTCGACTATCGAGGAGGTTACTGTTCACTGAAGCGTCGCTTGCTGTTACGTAACCTCCAGGCGGTTACAGCTCGCAACCTCCAGTTGCGGTTTGATGTGGTACGCGCCTTTTCGACTTCGTACTCCTTTTGTTGTGCTTCAGTATCGGGTGAGGTTCGATACTACAGAAACGCACTAAGTCATGCGTTTATTTTCCCAACAGAGAGACTGAATAAGAATTGGTCCAATGAGAAATCTCTCGGATGAGTGTGCGATCCTATAAGAAGGAACCCAATTTCGACTGACCAGCAGGCCACATGTGTGTGACACAAGGAACATCAGTTATCTTAGGCTGCATGTCCACATGGCGAGGTGCTACAATCATCCAGGTGCGCCACCTCATGAGGCATGCAGATATGTGAAGAGCAGTATCCAAACGAGCTGCAAGGGGACAAGGGGGAATGGAGGTGTGGGAAGAGAGCACAGCAGAGCCTGTTCAGGTAGAGCTGGGTCTTTCCGGCTCTCAATAAGAGCGACAAGCTACGGAAAGGGTTTAGGGCGCCTGAGTTGAGCAGCATAGAGACGGATAAGACGAGACTGACCAGGAAGACGCCGAAGGAGTTGAGGAGGCCCTCCTGCAGCAGTGCCCCGTGGCCGCCCAGCTCCTCCGCATCCACCTTCACCACCAGCATGTAGTACCCCATCATCACTGCCGTGCTCAGCACCAGGAAGCTGCCTCACCAGTGGGAGGAAGGGAATGAGAGAAAGAGACGATGGCATGTGAGGCATTTCATTCTCTCACCACGAGCGCGTCGTACCCATCATCACCGCCGTGCTCAGCACCAGGAAGCTGCCTCACCGGTGGGAAAAAATGAAAGTCGGAAAGAGATGAACTTGCTGGGGTGTGATTGGAGAAATGGCAAGGCACTGGCTTGACATGGCATCTCCAGTTCGCACTTCTGACGTGCTTGCCTGATGGTTGGCACAGATTCAACCAATGTACACAATCTAACTGACAGAACGACCCCTCCCTGCCTACTACCCCACCACCCAAACGAACCCCAACATCCCTACCTCCACACACAGCCGCCACTGACCCGATGATGCCAATGCCGCCTGTGATGGGCGCAATGCCCCACAGCACGCCAAAGAGCACCGCGAGCACCTGGCGCATCCAGTACAGCACGTCCTTGAACGCATCCTGCCCAGGGGGCGAGCGCCAGTGGGAGGGGGTAGAGGCCAGCAACAGAAGGGTACAGAATTGAAGGACAAGAGGTGAACGAGGAAGGGAAGATTTTAGGTCAAATATATGCTGCTTTCGTAAAAAAAGACATTGGCTTCATACCAAGCACATTGTGGTGCGTTCTAATTCAAAGGGATCAGAACACCTGCCAATAATTCAGTGTAGCACCTCCCTAACTTCCATCCATCTCATACGCCATCCCTCTTGCCCACGTGGTACTTGACCTTCCCACCACTCATGTCATCCCACCATCCACGCCATCCACGTCATACCTGGTCCTCCGCAACATCTGGTTTTAATAGTGACGAGAGCAGACCCGATTGCGACTGCTTCTGTCGATGTGCGTGCAACGTGAGGGCGGGGGCACAAGGAGTGGGAGTGGGAGGCATGGGAGAACGTGAGGGAAGGAAACGAGGCATTGTAAATGAGTAGAGCAGATGTCGATAAGAGTGACGGGCGCGGGGGAAGGGCAAAGGAGAGTCCTAAAAAACCACAATTGCACTCCCCCCTCCCTTCACTTCATCGCGTCGCTCTGTTCCCCCGCTACCCGTGCACCAAGGCATCAGCTGTGCGACAACCTCACAATCGCACCATGCCAGCGACTGTGCGGCAACCCCACCGTCGCACCTTAGTCGCCATGGGGGCCGCTGCGCAAGCCCTCGAAGCTGAATCGGACCCCCTTGCTGTTCCTATTGATCACACACCACACGCGACGCTCCGTTGGGCAACAATCCCCTACGCGACGATTGCCTGAGCGACGATATCCCTAAACGACGGCCAGGCAGGCGCAAAGCTCCCGGCTGACCCCTTCTGGATCCACGACGAGAAAACGCTGTCTTCGCTCGTGAGCCGGAAAAACACGTCGCACACGGAAGGAAGACGAAGCTGCGAGGAACAAGCAAGGGTTGGGTGTGCGGGTTGGGTTGGGATGGGAGCACGCATGCGACAATCGCAGTGATGGAGGCCGGGATCACCACCACGGGATCACCACCACGGGATCACCACCACGGGATCACCACCACGGGATCACCACCACGGGATCACCACCACGGGATCACCACCACGGCAAGGCCCGCTCTCTTGCAATAACAAGCCAGCGCTGCAACGGGCACGGGCACTACATCAGAGATTGCTTGTAAAATCTCATCTGCTCGCTGCAGTAGCTGATTGCTTGCGACCTCGCTGTCCGTTTTCCCACGCAGCTTTCGTCGGTCAGCCCGAGTCGACCCAAATTACTCACTCGCAGGTTCTCCAACGGATCGCGACGCGTGAATGGCTTGGAGAGGACGAGGCTGACCAGGCAAGGAAGATGGAGAGCGAGGAAGATCGCACATGTGCCAGCGATGGAGAAACGGACCCCTGCGAGAAACTCCTGGGGCCAGGAAAGCCCCAATTCTCTGATCCAGAGCAGATTCGAAGTCGCTTCGACCGCGAGTATAGCACCGCGTCCCTCACTCCAAGCTGTTCTCCTTCGGAATGTGCCGAGCCCCAAATATCTAAAAAATTTCCTACTGGCCGGTTCTAAGTGTTCGGTACAGATTTGTATTACATGATACATGCACGCTGAACACGCCCTGAATCAGATTCTCTGCGAAGTCCTTGGGTGGTAACAGGAGTTAGGTGCCTCTATTTCCCTCCAATTCACAAAAGGTTTCGCAAGCTCTTGCAGACGAGGATATACGCGTTCTTGTGTTAGCGTGTTAAGACATCAGAGTAGAAACGCAGTGAAACCGTTTTCACAAGAGATGCTTGTGCAGAGCACTGGCATTTGGTAGTCCGTCTGTACGGTCAATCTGTGTTCCTGAGATTCCTCCAGCCCTGGACAGCCCAGCGACGCGCGCATGGCTCCCAAGGCTCGCAAAGGCGATGCCGCCGCGTCTGCAAACGGCGGCGGCGATGCGGGCGACGATCTAATGGCGTGGGTGGCGAAGAGTCGCAAGCTGGACGAGAAGCGGCGCGCGGAGAAGGAGAAGGCGGAGCGCATGGCGCGTATGCTCGCCGACCAGGTGCGACTCGCGTGCCTTCGCCGCTGCTTACCCTTGCGCGTTTTGTCTTAAATCGTGGCGCTTGTTCGTCGCATTACAAAAGCGTGACCGGCGTTTCCATGGATTGCCGTGGCGTGGCAAATGGAGTGATTTTATGTCACTCAGTTGTCTGCTGCTTGCCGCTTAGCTCGATTCTCCGCTGCGCGCAGTTTCTCGCCTTTTACCGATTCGCTTTGTATGAATGAAATATGTTGGTTCCATTTTGATCAAGTGTGCAACGTGTCTCCTTGACAAAGGCAATGAAGATTTTATTCCCCGCAGTGCCGTGCGTCTGTCTGTTGTGATCTTACCGCAGGACGACGCGGCTGCGGAGGAGGAGGAGGAGGACGACGAGGAGGAGAAAGGAGGAGGGTGGCAGCGGTCATCGCGACCCGAGTACACCTCTCGTGAGCTCCCACTCGCACTCCCACTTCCACCCCACACCAACACTCCTCCCCCTCCCCCCTTCCTTCCCCTTCCCCCTTCCTTCCCCTCTCCCCGCTCCCACCTCCCTTCCTGCCGTGTGTACTGTGGCTCTGGAGTCGAGTCGACTTGCAAGCCCATCCGCACACACCTGTCATGCGTGCTTCCTCCTGCTGCCTCTTCCTCGCCCACCACCCACGTCGTGCCGTTGAACTCTCCTCCTTCCCCTCACTCTCCTCCCCCGTCCCAAAGCCTCGCTCTGTCTCGTCCCATCGCCAACTACCTCACTCCCTCACCCATTCCCTCTCCTTCTCTCCCCCCATTATCTCTCCTGTCCTGCCTCCTGCCGTACGCCCTTCCGCCCCAACCCCCTGGTCCGTGGCGAGCGTGCAGGCGACCTGGCGGGGCTGAGGGTGCGGCACGGGGTGGGCGCAGTGCTGCAGGAGGGCGCGGCCGTGGTGCTCACGCTCAAGGACGCCTCCATCCTCGCGGGGGATGATGTCAATCAAGGTACTGCTGCGGGCACCCATGGGTGGCAGGAGAGCATCGAGCGTTGCTGCTTGCTGCCTCTCCATGTCGCCTCGTGCTGTCGTGTTCTTCTCCTTGCGCTCGCTCCTAACCATCTCCATTCCCTCCTTCACTCCATGTCTCCTCCACCCTCCTCACGCACGTGTGGGGCATGACGTGTTGTGTGTGCTGGCGGGTGGCAGAGGAGGACGAGTTGGAGAACGTGGAGGTGGCGGAGCAGAGCCGGCGAGACAAGGCGTACCGCGCTGCTAAGAAGACCACCAGCATTGCCGACAAGTGAGTGAGGCTGGCAGTCGTGCTGGCAAGTGAGGGGCAGTGCGCCGGAGCTGCTTGGGGGATTTGGGGGATTCGGATGAAATCCCTGCATGGAGTGCTGTAGAGAAAGAGACAAACAAGTCAGAGGCACGTTTGAAAGGCCCGCCTCTCCCACCCCACTGCAGCCGTCTCTCACCCTCCCTGAGTCTTCCCCCCTTTGGATCTCGCCCTCTCTTGCCCCCCCTGTGGGGAGCAGGTTTGCGGAGGACGAGGGAGAGAAGAAGCCCATGCTGCCGCAGTACGACGACGGGCACGACGACGAGGTGAGCTGCACCAACAGTGGCAGGGCTTGGTGGGTGCGTGCAAGCCATTGATGAGCAGAGTGTCCCCGAGCAAGGCTTGTATCGAGGCTGGTGCCATGAAATCCCCATGCGCTCATCCTTCCCTACCCCCTCCTACTCCCCCCTCTTTCCTACTTTTCCTTGTTCTTGCTGCTTCTGTTCTGCCCAACCTGTCGTGGCTGTGTTGTGGCCTGCGGCGTGGTGTGGTGTGGTGGGCGTGCGTGTGTGGCGGGCAGGGCATAGTGCTGGACGGGTCGGGCGGGCTGGATGAGGCCACTCGCTCGCGACTGGACCAGGTGAGGGCACGGGGGAGAGGCGAGGGGGAGAGGCGAGGGGGAGAGGCGAGGGGGAGAGGCGAGGGGGAGAGGCGAGGGGAGAGGCGAGGGGAAGAGGCGAGGGGGAGAAGCGAGGGGAGAGGCGAGGGGAGAGGCGAGGGGGAGAGGCGAGGGGGAGAGGCGAGGGGAGAGGCGAGGGGGAGAGGCAAGGGGGAGAGGCGAGGGGGAGAGGCGAGGGGGAGAGGCGAGGGGAGAGGCGAGGGGGAGAGGCGAGGGGGAGAGGCGAGGGGGAGAGGCGAGGGGGAGAGGCGAGGGGGAGAGGCGAGGGGGAGAGGCGAGGGGGAGAGGCGAGGGGGAGAGGTGAGGGGGAGAGGCGAGGGGGCGAGGCGAGGCGAGGCGAGGGGGAGAGAGGCGGCGAGGAGGAGAGAGAGGGGATGAAAGGCGGGGCAGCAATGCACATGTGGATACCCCATCCTTGTTACCCTCGCACTCTGCAAGACGCCGTGAAATAGACAATGCAATCCTGGTCCTCTCCTCTCTCGTCTCACTGTCTCCTTGTTGCATCCGCCTGAAGAATAGTTCCGCTGCTCTGCTCCCTCCCCCTTCCTCTTCTCTTGGCCCCCCTCCTGCCTAGTCCGATTTCTTCTCTTCCCCCTCCCAGGATCCCCTTCATCACCATTCAACTTCCGCCCGTCCCCCCCACTGCACATTTCTCTCCCCCGATGCTTGTGCACGTGCGAACCTTGTCTCTTATTCTCACCTCTCTGTTACGTTTGGCCCACCTCTCCTCTCCCCACACCCCCCAAGCACCCCCCCCCCCCCCCTTCCCCCCCCCCCCCAAAACTCCCCCCTCCCCAGGTGCGCAGCAGGCTGCAGGGCGCAGCCAGCGCGCTCCCCCCTGCCCCCCATGCGCTGGGCAGCACCACGTTCGGGGGAGGGGCGGATGGGACAAGCTTCGCCACCCCAAAGGTGGCGAGCGACTTCCTGACGGCTGAGGAGATGGAGCAGCGGCGGGCGGCAGCACAGTTCCGAAAGCCAAAGCGGAAGAAGGAGAGCCGAAGGCGACGAGGGGGGGAGGAGGGGGGTGAGGAGGGGGGTGAGGAGGGGGGTGAGGAGGGGGAGGGTGGAGCAGGGGAGGGAGGAGGGGGTATGATCAAGAAGAAGAGGAAGAAGGAGAAATTGGATTTGGATAAGCTAGAGGCGCAGGCTCGGGCGGCAGGTTTAGGGAGAGGTTCGGATCTGGGGAGGAGGGACGGGGAGGGAGGGACGGGGGTGACGGCGAGGCGGAGGGAGGAGCAGGCAAGGGAGGAGAGGGGTGGGCGGGCGGCGTATGAGAGCGCCAAGGCCAAGGCGATGCAGGCCTCGATGGTTCTGAAGGGGGAGAGGGAAGGGGGCGCAGGGGAGGAGGGTGGAGTGGGTGGCAGGGAGGAGAGGGGGGTTGTGAAAGAGGAGATGGATGTGCATGGGCGCGTTGGGGGGACGGGTGGGTGGGAGGAAGGGGGTGGAGGGACAGTGGTGAAGAGGGAAGAGGAGGAGCAGGAGAAGGGCGAGGGCGAGGAGGCGGGACGGGAGGGGGAAGAGGAGGAGGAAGAGGTGGAGGAGGGGGAGGGGGATGACACGGTGGTGATAGGCGATGACGATGAGGACCTGCAGCGGTCGCTGCAGCGCACCCGACAGCTCGCCCTCAGGCGCCGGCAAGACGAGCACGCCGCTGCTGCCAGGGCCGCTGCCGCTGCTGCTGGGGATGGGGGTGGGGATGGGGGTGACGTGGGGAAGGTGAAAGAGGAGGCGGACGTGGGAGCCGGGAGTGGTGCGGGCGGTGCGGGGGTGGGCCCAGCAGTGAGGGGCGAGGCTCTGGTGCTGGCGCGGGTGAAGCAGGTGGGGCGGGTGAGGAGGCGGGGGGGCGACGGGGAAGGGGAGGGCGTGGAGGGTGGGGAGGGAGAAGGCGTGGAGGGCGTGGGGCGCGGGCTTGTGTTCAGCGACACGGGAGAATTCTGCCGCGGCTTGCAGCTGGATGATGGTGAGATGGCAGGATGATGGTGAGGTGGCAGGATGATGGTGAGGTGGCAGGATGATGGTGAGGTGGCAGGATGATGGTGAGGTGGCAGGATGATGGTGAGGTGGCAGGATGATGGTGAGCTGGCATGATGATGGTGAGGTGGCAGGATGATGGTGAGGTGGCAGGATGATGGTGAGGTGGCAGGATGATGGTGAGGTGGCAGGATGATGGTGAGGTGGCAGGATGATGGTGAGGTGGCAGGATGATGGTGAGGTGGCAGGATGATGGTGAGGTGGCAGGATGATGGTGAGGTGGCAGGATGATGGTGAGGTGGCAGGATGATGGTGAGGTGGCAGGATGATGGTGAGGTGGCAGGATGATGGTGAGGTGGCAGGATGATGGTGAGGTGGCAGGATGATGGTGAGGTGGCAGGATGATGGTGAGGTGGCAGGATGATGGTGAGGTTGCAGGATGATGGTGAGGTTGCAGGATGATGGTGAGGTTGCAGGATGATGGTGAGGTTGCAGGATGATGGTGAGGTTGCAGGATGATGGTGAGGTTGCAGGATGATGGTGAGGTGGCAGGATGATGGTGAGGTGGCAGGATGATGGTGAGGTGGCAGGATGATGGTGAGGTGGCAGGATGATGGTGAGGTGGCAGGATGATCGTGGTTAAGTGGCAGCTAGAAAGCGTGTTTTTTGTTAGAATCTGTTGTCCATTCTTGTCACGTACCCAGCTCTCTTTGCTATCCCCCTCTTGCTGGCCGGTTTCCCCTCTCCGCTGCGCTGCCAGGCAAGCATGGGTGTATGGTCGCAAGGCATGAGAGGAGTGGATGCGTGCAGGGGCATTCAATTCAGCCACCACAGCAGCACAACAGCAAGGAGGCAGTGCGCTGCCGGCTGCTTGCTGCATGTTCTCTGCGGACCCACCTTCTTGCTCGTTTCCTCTCTCGTCTCCTTGCCTGCTCCCTGCAGCGCTGGTGAAGCGAGTGAATGCAAGGGAAGCTGCTGCCGCCGCCAAGGAGGAACTGGCTGCCGCCGCTGCTGCCCTCCCTGTCCCGCCCTCCTCCTCCTCTGCTGCTGCTGCTGGCACCGGGAGTGCAGACGGGGGCGGGTGGATGGAGGTGAAGCGGGACGGGCAGGGCGACGAGGAGATGGGCGATGCAGAGGAGGGCGCGGAGGTTGGAGGCGAGGGCAAAGGGGCAGGCCAAGGAGCGGAGAAGGGGGAAGAGGCGGGGGCGGGTGAGGGGGAGGCGGGGGTGGATGCGATATCGGAGGCGCCGGTGGGGACGGGGCTGGCGGCGGCGCTGGCGCTGCTGAAGGACCGCGGGGCGCTGAAGGGCGAGGTGGAGTGGGGCGGGCGCACGATGGACAAGAAGCGCAGCAAGCTGGTGGGCGTGCTGGATGACAAGGGCCATGACCGCCCGCACGCCTTCAAGGAAGTGCGCATCGACCGCATCGACGAGTTCGGCCGCGTGGTGAGCTGCCGGAGAAGGGTGGTGGTGGGTTGCTGCAGGGTGTGGAGGCGTGCGGTGCAGCAGGGAGCAGGCCGGCATGCACCGCGGGTTGATGGGCCGTGACCTGGGTTATTGTGTTACTCGCCCCGGCACACACGAGTGTCAACCATGAAAGCACAAGGTCTTGTGCGTGCTGAGGGTGCCGCACCTCCACAGCAAGAGGCAAACCAGGCGACTTTTGAGTCGGCAAATATTGCAGTGGTGTCTCCCCTTGCCCTCCTGGCACAGCGCCTGCGTGGCCTGCAGATGATGCCCAAGGACGCATTTCACAGGCATTTCAGATGACGCCCAAGGAGGCATTTCACAAGGCTGTTGCTCATCGCTGTCGTGTGACCCTCCTCCACTTCCCCGCAGATGACGCCCAAGGAGGCGTTCCGCAAGCTGTCACACGCGTTCCATGGGAAGGGGCCGGGCAAGATGAAGCAGGAGAAGCGCATGCGCGCTTATGAGGAGGACCTGAAGCGCAAGGGCATGGCGGCGGGCGACACGCCCATGCACTCCGTGGAGCGGCTGAGAGAGGTGCAGGCTCACACGCAGTCGCCCTACGTGGTCATCACTGGGCATGTCAAGCCGGGGTGAGTGCACGGTTCAATTATGTGATAGAATGGCAGGCTGGCATGGGAAAATACATTGAATTCTTCCACGAAAGACGGGGGCAGAAATGCTCTCTTGATCTTACAGTGTAGACTTAGGGAGGTGCAGGCTCAGACGCAGTCGCCCTACGTGGTCATCACTGGGCATGTCAAGTCGGGGTGAGTGCGCTGGGAGGGGTGAGGTTGATCATTGAGGTGGCGAGAACTTGAGGGGTTGCTTGTGGGCGTGAGGGGGATGTTGAGGGTGTGATGGGGGAAGGATGAGAGTGTGAGGAATCATGTGCATGATGAGGGGAGGATGAGAGAGTGAGGAAACATGTGCATGATGAGGGCAGGAGGGGGAAGGCTCCCACCATCGTATGGCAGAGCTGTGTGGAGGTGCAGGAGCTCACCCAGTCGTCCTATGTCGTCATCACCGGGCGTGTGAAGCCAGTGAGTGCACTCGGGGGATTGAGGGTGCATAGGTGTTGAGGGTGCACAGGTGTTGAGGGTGCACAGGTGTTGAGGGTGCACAGGTGTTGAGGGTGCACAGGTGTTGAGGGTGCACAGGTGTTGAGGGTGCACAGGTGTTGAGGGTGCACAGGTGTTGAGCATGAAGGTGGGTATGGGGGCACATGGAGGAGGGAGTGAGGGATGGAGGGAGGGCATTGGAGCTCTAACTATCGCATATGTTTTCATGGGTGTGCATGTGTGTGTATTTCTGTGTCCGTTCCCCCTCCCCCCCCCGCCGTTCCCTCTTTTCCCCCCCTTATAGGCACCATCTATCCCCGTGCATTTCATCGGGGTCACCCAGTGCCGTCCATCCCCATCACTGCGTGCCTTCCAATACCCCCACATGTGTGCGCATGTCCCCCGTGTGGTGTGGTGTGGTGTGGTGTGGTGTGGTGTGGTGTGGTGTGGTGTGGGGGGAGCAGGCAGATCTCGGACCCGGCCAACTCGTTTGCGACGATGGAGAAGGAGAGGGAGGTGGTGGGCAGCCTCACGCCCATGCTGGGCCACGCCAAGGTGAGGCAAGATGGGGCAAGGTGAGGCGCGGGGCAAGGTGAATGGCGGTGATTGCTTGTAAGGGACGGTGATAGGTGGTGAAGCAAGGTGATTCGCATGGCGTTGGAAAGGGTTGAGGGCACGGGGCGCGAGCGACCTTGCCACCTGCCAGGGGCCACAACGAGACGAGAGGGAACAAGGCGGAGCAGTGGGGCGGTGCGGAGGATTGCAATAGGAGCTAGCAGCGGCTTTTGGGGGGGACTCTAATGAGCCTGTTGCACCCAGAGAATGGGCGGCTCTTGCTGTTCTGTTCCACTGCTTTGTCCCCCCTACTCCTCTTCCACCTTGTCATCCCCTTCGTCCCCTGTTTTCCCTCCCACCTCCCCCCCTCCCTCTCCCCTCCCCCCACCAGGTGGAGCAGTATCTGGGCATCACCAAGGCCCCACCGCCCTCTGCGCCCGGCTCTTCCCGCACGCCCATGGGCCCTCCACGTGCCAAGCCACCCCGCCCCTGACACCCTCACGCCCTTCACGCCGGTGTAACATGATGGGGGATGGTGTGACATAATCAGCATGATGTTTGTGGTTTAAAACAGTTTCCGTAGCATGTGCGTGTGTTTTCTGGAAGCTTTCAAACAAAAGGTACAAGTCCATCTCAGAAGAACATCCAAAAAATATTTCGTAACCACCGTAAATAGAGAAATCATGCCGTTGTACGAAGGAAGAAACCATGCTGTGAACTAAACACGTTTCCCAAGTAAAAGTCTGGTCCGGAGGATAACGGGTGTGACCTGCGACTGCGACTGTGAATGCAATACCGTGATCTCCCGGTTAGAAGCCCCGGGGGCAGGCCCTCAGATATCCGTGTAAAACACGCTGATTAGGCTGATTTTGTAGCTGTGATTTTCGTTTTCCCTGGAAATTCAGCATACCGTATGCTTCAATTTTGCACTGAAATTTCAGTATAACCTACCTTGCCACACTTGTCAAAACATAGAGTTATGTCTATTTCACTCTAGGTTGTAGGGGTCATCCCTTAGAGGGTACAACCCAATTCTCTCGATACTCTTGTACTCTCCCTCCCTTACCTTATCACCATTCCTCACCTAGCTAGTTATTCTAACATGGTATTAAGAGCACAATGCTCCTTAATAAAGCACTAATAAAGCAGGTTTTTTTAGGGGGGTGGGCTTATAATCGAGTAAATTTATACCGGTAAGCGCCCGGCGTTTATAAAATGACATATATGTTTTTATATATATTTTGAACACCAATCAGTAGATCTCGTGCTTGCCTTTTCAATCGAGTCGAAGTTACATGGGGTCGTCTGTAAAATTCTCGCGCGCGCAGGGAGGTACACCCAATCTGACTCACATCCAGCTCCTGACAGCTCCTGCTGACTGGACCCGAATCCAGTGCAGGGTCCGAATGTGAAGGGAACCGAATCTGCAAAACATCTGCCTGCTAAAGTAGAAATCGTTAAAGCGTTTTGAACACATTTCAAAAAATTAAGTTTACGTGCGCTTATAATAAAACAAGTTTCTTCAGGGGGTGCGCTTATGATCGAGCAGGGGATATAAGCGCCACACGCCAATTAAAAGCGCCAGGCGCTTATCCGAGGGTGGCGCTTATATCCGGGGTATGACGGTATTTCGATCTGCTGCCCGAGTCGCGCCCCCAGGAGAAACGCGAAATGCGAAAACGCGCCCTAGGCGAGACGCTTCCTTTTTCTGCCATAGTCGCGATTTTTTTTTTCCTTCCTAGTCACGTGCAACCCCCCTGACCGCACCCTAGCTGCCCCGTGCGCCTCTCGCGCGGCCCGTCAGCCCCTACGCCCGGTCCCCCCTCATTCCTGCAGCTGCGCGCGCCACTCACGCTGCCCGCCAGCCCCTAGCACGCACCTGCTGCGCGCTCCTCGTAGTGCTGCCCCGCACGCACCTGTTGCGCGCCCCTGATTTGCACGCCCACAGCCCACGCGCACCTACTGCTACTACGCGCCGCCCAGCCCGAGCTGTAACAGCTGCTACTGACTGAAACTACTGCTGCTACAGCTAGTGCTACTGCTGCTGCTACTGAAGCTCTTGCTGTTACAGCCCGTGCTCCTTGCTGCAGCTGCTCCTCCTTGCTGCTGCTTGAGCTGTCACTGCTGCTGCTACTGACGCTACTGCTTCTACAGCTAGTGCAAATCACTGTTGCTGCTACTTGCTACAGTTGCTCCTCCTTGCTGCTGCTGCTGCTACTTGCTGCAGCTCCTCCTCCTTGCTGCTGCTGCTGCTACTGAGCGCCGGCTGCTGCTGCTTGCTACTGCTGCTCCGCCACTGAGCCCGAGCCACACCGCCCTGTCCGAGCCGCGCCACCCTGTCCGAGCCGCGCCGCCCAACCCGAGCTGTCACTACTGCTGCTGCTGCAACCACTGCTGCTACAGCTAGTGCTACTGCTGCTATGGCTAACCTGTCAGTTCTTACGTTCGATGCTGAGAGCCGCGCGATTACCTTTGATGTCTGGCTCGACGATCTCCAGCTGTTCCTGAAGAGCGAATCTAAGGATGGTGTTTCCCTGTTTTTGCACACTGAGGGAAAGCTCCCACCCCCTGCTGCCGACGCTGTAGAGGATCTGTCTAAGTGGCTCATGCGTGATGCAGCTGCCCGCCTTGCTGTCCGCAACCACCTGCCAGTCACTGAGAGCGCGCACTTTAGCCAGCAAAAAATAGCCAAGGATCTCTATGACGTTGTAGTTTCTCGCTACTCCTCCCCAGCTACTGCTGCTGTAGGTCGTCTCATGCTGCCGTACCTGCATCCTGATCTAGCTGAGTTCCGCACTGTCTCTGACCTCTTTAGCCACCTCCACTCTAGTGAGGATCGCTTCCGTGCCGCTCTCAAGCCGGACTTTCTTGCTAAGAACCCCCCCCCCCCTCCCCCCCCCCCCCCGCAGTACTTCACCCTCTAATTTCTTATCACTCGCCTCCTTGACTCCCTTTGTACTGTCAGGGACCAGTTCCTAGCCATGGACCCCACTGAGCTCACACTTGACTCGCTTGAGAAGGCCCTTCTCGAGGTTGAGAAGAGCACTGTCACTGTTGCTGCGTCTCGTGGCACCCCCCGCTCCCCCTTCTTTGAAGGCTGTACTCCCTCCCCTCTCCTCCCCTCTGTTGCTACCGCTGCTGCAGTCAACCTCCTTGGTGCTGAGGACGTTGGCGCTGCGTCTGCTCCCAGTGGACGGCGAAACAACAGCAAGGGCAGAGGGGGCAGGGGTGGTGGTGGTGGCAGCAGCGGAGGGGGTGGCGGGGGTGGTGGCGGGGGTGGTGGAGGCTCCGAGGGTGGCTCTGGGGGTGGCGGCAGTGGAGGAGGCGGACAGGGTGGAGGAGGCGGCGGTGGTGGGGGAGGCGGTTGGGGTAGCGGGGGCGGTGGAGGAGGTCTGGGTGGGTCTGGCAGGGGTGGTGGCGCTCGTGGACCTTCCCGTGGCTACGGGAGTGGTCAGCAGCTGCCGCACCTCCCGGACAACCCCACCGACCAGCAGCTCCGTGAGTGGGTTCTTTAGCGTGGGGGCTCTGGTCGGTGCCCTTATGTCCGGCGCACGGGGCTTCTGAAGGGCACAGTCTACGGGAAGCCGCACACTGAGTACAAGTGCTTCGGCCGTCTTGAGGACGCCTGGGTGACTGAGTACTCCGAGGACCAGCAGGTCCCGAACTGGCTGCAGCTGATAGGGAAGGGGGTAGATGTGTTTGCTCTTGACTTTGCTAAGATCAATGCTGCTCTCTATGCTATGTATGTTTCTGATTATAGTGTTGAGGGTGCGTGTTACTCGTGTGTGCTATGCGATGCTGGTGGTGATGCTGCCCCCCCAGGTGCTAGTGCGTCTGCTGCTGCCCTAGGTGCTAGTGTCGCTACTGCCCCAGGTGCTAGTGAGTCTGCTGCTACCGCTGAGGTCTTGCACACTTTCACACTTGAATCTGGTGCGTCACGTTGCTTCTTTCGCGACAGCACCACTGTCACCCCACTCACTACCCCAGTCCCAGTCTCACTGGCGGACCCCTCTGGGGGCCCGGTGGTTGCACGCCACTCCACTGTCCTCCCGTGCCCAGCTGTCTCCTCTGGCTCTCTGTCCGGTCTCCACCTCCCCTTGTTCTCGACGAACCTGGTGAGCAACGCCGTCCTTCAAGATGTATGGGTTGACACCTTTACTCCTGCAGGTCAGCGTGTGGCGATCTGCACATGCGCTAAGACAGGCCGTCACCCGGCTACGTTCACACGATTGCCGGGGTCGAACCTGTACACACTCACCACATCGTCTGCACAGGTAGCTGCGTCTGGTCAGGTAGCTGCGTCCGGTCAGCTCGCTGCGTCCTGCTCGTGTCGCCTCCTCACCCACCCTTGCGGCGCAAGGCGGGTGTCAGTGGTGTCTTGATCCCCTGGATCCGTGCTACTCGTCACCAGCTGCGCGAGCGGTTTCGGCGGGACTTTCCAGTCCTGCGTCTGCACTCTGACAGGGGTGGTGAGTTCTCCTCTGGCGTCCTTGAGACGTTCTGCCAGGACGAGGGCATTGCCCAGTCGTTCACGCTTCCGACCTCTCCGCAGCAAAATGGGATCGCTGAGCGTTGCATTGGCCTGATCATGGAGGTTGCTCGTACCTCCATGATCCATGCGGCTGCTCCCCATTTCTTGTGGCCGTTTGCGGTCCGATACGCCGCGCATCAGCTCAACCTTTGGCCCCGTGTCTCTGCTCCAGAGACCTTGCCCACACTCCGTTGGACGGGACAGCCTGGTGATGCGTCGTCGTTTCGGGTCTGGGGCGTGCTCTCCCTTGTTCGCGATACCAAAGCGAGCAAGCTCTCCCCTCGCACTCTCCGCTGTGTCTTCCTGGGCTTCCCCACCGACGCTCCACCCTGGCAGTTCTACCACCCTGCCTCCGTCGTGTTCTGTCCTCTCAGGACGTCACCTTTGACGAGTCGGTCTGTTACTACCGACTTCACCCGCACGCGTCCCACCCGGTCCCTCTCGCACCTCTCTTCCTGGTACCAGTCCCCCCCCCAGTAGACCCCCTTCCCCCACAGGGTCCTGCTCCCTCAGGTGTGTCCCAGGTAGACCCACCCCCCTTGGATGAGCCAGTTGAGATCTCTTTTGACTCCCCTGACTAACCTGAGGGGGGTGACGCCGTCGCCGACGACACGGCGACCACTCGCCGCACTCCTCGCTTGGAGACCCCCCCCGGGTTTCCTGCCACGGCCGTCTTCGCCGCCTCCGCAGCCTGCTGATGTGGACTCTGGAGCTGAGACTACTAGAGCTGAGGCTGGGGGTGGTGAGTCCGGGGGTGCCCGCTCTCCTCGTCTGGCTACACCGCACGAGTTCCCACCTCCGCCATCTTCACCGCCTCTGCAGCCTGCTGCTGTGGACACTGGAGCAGAGACTGAGGGTACTGAGCCTGGGGGTGCTGGGACTGAGGTACTGAGCTTGGGAGTGCTGGGATTGAGGGTACGGAGCCTGGGGGTGCTGGGACTGAGGGTATTGAGCGTGGGGGT